AATGGCACCATAAAAATCTATTTTAAACTGGTAAAAAAAAAACACCATATTATTTTTTGACTAAATTCCAAAGAGCTGCAATAAAATTCAATTGGAAACTTTTGCTCGGCTCTCCCGCAGAAAATGAAAACAAAATAATGAATATACTTTTGGCCAACACACAGGCTAAGACACTCAGGGACATGGACATGGGCACGGACACGGACAGGGCTTAGAGACGCCGAAAAACTTGGCAAGTAAAGCCCCAAGGGAGAAGGCGGGCGAGCGAGCGAGAGGATGCAGTTTCCTGCAGCAAACACATGTCAAATTCGCCGCCACTCTCCTCCCCACAGCACTACACCCCTCACAACCACCTTCGTGGAAGAGGGGAAAAAAACAAGTTTTTACTTCTAGAGGTTTTCCTCCGAAAAAGTTGCACGGACAAATGGCAAAACTGCTTATCTCAACAAAAAGCCAAAGATGGAAAAAGGCAGAGCAGAGCACTACCACAAGAAGTGGACGAGGAGACGAGGGAGTACCGCGGCAGTAGGGGGCGTGGAAAGCTGCACTAATGGTGCCAAGCAACCGGAAATGCCGCCATGCATGTCTGCCTCCATTTCAGAGGCTGTATATCGTCCTTGCCTATACCTCAACCCCCCCCCAACTATACTCAAGTAGGAGTAAAATCTTGATTGCCTTTTGCTGCAAGCCAAAGAAAATTTATAAGTTTTTCCAGCCATTTCCAAGATACACATTTCCATTGGATCTCTCTTCTTCACTCATTCACTTGACCCACCAGCACCAAACATATCCATCTTTCCATCCACCCAGCTATCTATCCATCTATTGCTCTTTTTTCCTATGATAATTTCCGCAGTTTCGCTGTGGAAACAACTGCCAGTTCGACGAATCAGACACACAAATAATAAAAAAAAGAAAAGAAAAACAGCACTACACAAAAACCGAAGGATGGTGATGAGCGAAATGGAATTGACATTTTGGCCAACGGCCAAAGACCGAGTTGGAGTCTACTAAGTAAGGGGACACGAGGCTTATATAAGGGGTAGATCAGGGCGGGTAATAACCATGATGGTCCACCTCTTTTTGCCACACATGTTGGTGGAGTACTTTGGCCTGATGAGGGATGAGGTAAGAAGTTCATTTGGTTTTTTGGCAGCTACTTCGATGGGCAAATTGGGGTCTGTTTCATCATTTAGTGTCCATTTTCTATGATTTTTAGGAGTTGCATTACAGTTTCAGATCAGCTTTCCAATTAAAACGTGGGATTTACACTTTAAAGGCTGCTGCTCCAAACAATATGTTTAAATCCCAGACAGCTAATAACTTTGTTCAATGCCCTGTCACAACCACACACGGCACAGGTGCCTGTCCCAAACCAAAAAGTGTGAAAATTCTGGGGCAACGTTAATTGAATTTCGGACGGCAGCCAAAAAAGTATCCCTCCCCCTGTTGTGCTTTTAGTGGAAAAGGATGCATTGTAGTCTCGCTTGGGCGATGGTTCTCCTGCTTATCCAATTATCCACACAATTTTTTGGTTTTTTTTAAGTGCTTTTTGCTGCTAGTTTTCGTTGTTTTCTGTGTGTGTGTGGCTTGCGTTTTTGTTGGGAGTTTCAGTTGCCGGCATTAGCTCAAAAGTTGGCCTCATTAATGGCCAACGATATTCACTTTTGCCAAAACCCATTTCGCAGCGCATGTTCATTCATGTTCTCGACGGACGGAAGCGTGTGTGTGTGTGCATTGTGTCTGTAATTGTTGTTGTTGAAACAACCAAAAGCTGCGGCTGCCTGCTGTCGATTTTTGATGGTGGACGAGCTCCATCTAATGTTTGCTTTTGGTTTTGCGCCACTGTCTGTTAATGTCTGCTCTGGTAGGAGATATTTGCACTTTGCCCCTGGCAACCAATCTTTGGAACTGCAGCAGCAGTCAATAAAAGGCGGCCTAGTCCGTGAAACGTTCAGCTGGGGGAATGTTTGAGTGGATTACTCTCTAACTCCCTGGAAATGTATGTATGTATGTAGGTATCTACTAACATTTGATGGAATTTAAACTAGTGAGAAAAGTATTTATGAAATTTTTGTTCATTTGGCGCAAAAATTCAAACCCAATTCGCCGTACTTGTTTCCTTACGAGAGCTTTTCACCTCGGAAAGCACAGCATCCTTTAATCAGCGCCGTCTGGCGGTCAGGCTCAACCAGCGCCATCTAGCGGATACTCCTGGCAACAGGATGCAGCTTAAAAGCTCTCCAAGCAATGCAACAGGTTGCAGAAAAAAAGCACACACACACAAACAAGAAAACCGCAAATATAAAGAATATAAAAAGAAAATGCAAATAAATAATATCGCACCCAAATATCCTCCTCCAGAATGTTCCACTCATCGTTCAACTCGCTATTCAGCTCGCAGCGGCGGTAGAATCCTCTCCAATTTCCCGCGATCAAATTTGCTGGCGGCGTCTCCAGAAACTTCGTTGGCCAGTCACTTTCCATTTCACAGTATTTATTAAAACGGTTTTGGCAATAAATAAAAACGAACAACAAAATAAAATCCAATTCGGTTTAAATAAAAGACAACGAAAAACGTTGATTCCACCGAAGAAAAAATAACTGCGACGCGCACTCTGAAACTGAACCGTTTGCGCCGAAAAAGAATTAGAAATAAGAAGAGGATGGAACGGCCGAAAGATACCGATGTGCACGGCAAAGAAAACCGATGAGAGCAGCGCTGTCGCGGCGCAGAGTCTGTGTGAGTGTGGGAGGCAACAGCGAAAATAACTGCGAGCGTGAGGAAGACAGAATGAACACTGCGTTTGATACCCTGCAGAAGACTGTGCTTAGTTTGCCCAGCTACTGCGACACAGAGGGGTGAGAATGGGCGCAAACGTGGTATCCCACAATGTTTCCTTTATATAACTAAACACTCCAATTGCGTTTCGTAAGTGCGGAATTAAAATAGTATGATCGTAGGAGTGTCGGTGTACGATGGATCTCGAAGGGTATGTGAAGCACGACTCGGGCTGGTTGATTTGTTTTCTATCTCTTTGCTGCTTTGTGTGTTTGTGTGTGCGCGAGAGCGGCGCAAAAGAAGATGATTGCAAACCGTTACAGTTTCCGCGATTCTCGGCGTCCACACTTGTTTTACCCTTTTTTAGGGTATGCCGGATCTGATGAACTTTGCACAGAATATGCACATACTTTTTAATGGGTGTTAGCTCATTTCAGTTGTGCTTACATATGTATTACCAAAAAACTTTGCACATATGAAGCTAAGCTGAAGAACAACTAAAACAGATCACTGTGGTAAATAATTTTGGCTGGCTTGGGCGTGATCGATATACGAGGGTACGTAAGCGTCGTCTATCGACCGTCAACACATCAGTGCTTGTCGTGTGAGTATTGCGGGAGTTTTGCCATAGCCACGCGCGCCATTTTAATTTCTGGTTGGCTTTATGGAAAATAAACTGATTTATTGATTTGCTTACCTGTCTTTGATGAAATTCCACTACCGGAACACTTGCATTTACTTCAACTGCCGGCGCAGACATTTTTTTGTATTGTTTATCGTTTTCTTCGCTTAAAAATATTAAAATTTGTGTAACTGTTGTTGCTCTTTCTCGTTCTTCACGCACCAAACACAGAAATACTTGTACACAATCAACACACTCTTATATTATACATGTGTGTGACGTGGGATTCCATTTCATGCTCCGCCTTTCTCTTTGGCACCTAATTGAATTCGAGTCGAGATTTTAGGGTTGGTTGTAGGGAAGCACAGTTATTTGTGTCGCTGCCGCTGCTTTCTGCTCTGGGGGCGCGCAGTGGAACGTGTCACCAATACAAATGCCGGCTAGCTAGTGTACGCGCGTGATCTCCTAACGGTGAATTCCACTGGGGAGTGGATTCTAACAGTTTATTAAGGGATTCTGATGCGGCTTCATATCGTTTTTTTTCTGGTTTGTGTTCCCGTTAGCTGAAACGACAGTAGACAGAAGGAGAAAAAATTACATTATTTATGGTAAAGTATTTTTAGAAGAGCACTGTGGCAAATGGAAACCGGGTGTTCCTGCACCCTCCAGTGCTCCAGTACTAAGGAAGTAAAACGTGAAATAAAATGTGTGTGTTTATTGCACTGTTATCACAGTGAGAGTGGACAGTGGACGCCGCAGTCGGAGTGTGCCGAGATATAACGGCTGCACAGTAGTTCGAGGGTGGGGAGGGTTGGATACAGCTAGATTAACGTAGAGATTTACGTCTTATAAATATTGTACAAGAAAAGTTAATTCCAAGTAAACATTCCCATCATATGGCATTTTCTATATTATTTAACAAAAAAACACTCCCAGCAAGCCCCTTATATGATTTCCAATCAGTTTCAATACATCTCTATTGTTGTTAACAGCTAACAATAGTACATTTTATATATTTTTATTTTAACTCGATTTATTGTGTACTCGCAAGGTTTTTTATCCAAATTCCTTCGTTTCCAAGTGCATCATTTTGACTGGCTGGTGAGTTTAGTTTCTAATTTCCTTACTATGTATACACACAATTCTAGAGCACTGTAAGCGTATAATGAAATAGGAGAAATGGGAGGACCTTTATGGTGCTTGGACTCATCTTTGGGTAGTTTTTTGTGTCTCAACTCCAAATCTGCAATAACTTTAGCTATGTATGTGCATTTACTTAACAGTCTTGCACGCAAAAGATTGTCTTGCGGCTGAAAGTTCCCATATTTTATGGGTATCATGCTTTTGGCTTGTACTTTTTACACATCTCTAGCCAATACCCTGACAAAGGGCATGCACATTAATTACTGCTTTTAAACTTCCGATCAATCTAGTACTTTTTATGCTCGTTTCGGTTGACACCAAAACCCCTTACCAAAATCATTCATTAGTCGCTCAACTCAGTTCCAGTTAGCATTCATATTTTGTATAATTTGTATAACTCTGCCATCAATAATCTTTATTTTGTCTCCCAACAGAAAACATTGACAAAATACAAATATGAATTCGAGGATGCTGCAAATGGCCGGCTCGATGGCCCTGGCCAGGAACTGTCTTCGTTCTGTTAACCAGCGAAGCATGGCAGCGATTGCCTGTGCTGATGCCCACAAGGGCGGAAAGGGCCTCCTTGTGGGTCTCTACGAGAAGGAGGCGGGCAAGGGGCCACGTCTGACGCCAGCGGGGGAGAAGTTTGATGATCGTCTGCACGGGAAACTCTCGGAACTGATCTGCGAGACGAAGATCAGTGGCAGGCTGGGACGCGGAAAGGTCTTCAACAATATTGATGAGGAGTTCCGGTCGGTGTGCGTGGTCGGTGTGGGGCTGGAGGGAATCGGCTTCAACGAGCTCGAGATGATCGACGAGGGCATGGAGAATGTCCGCGTGGCCGCCGGCATTGGTGCCCGCTCCCTGCAGGCCATCGAATGCATCGAGATCCATGTGGACAACATGGACTACCCGGAACAAGCAGCCGAGGGCGCATCCCTCGCCACTTGGCGCTTCGAGGAGAATCTCTCCAAGNAATACCCTGATCAATCTAGTACTTTTTACTTTTTATACCCACACCAAAATCATTCATTAGTCGCTCAACTCAGTTCCAGTTAGCATTCATATTTTGTATATTTTTTATAACTCTGCCATAAATTTTTTACTTTACTTTGTCTCCCATCAGAAAACATTGACAAAATACAAATATGAATTCGAGGATGCTGCAAATGGCCGGCTCGATGGCCCTGGCCAGGAACTGTCTTCGTTCTGTTAACCAGCGAAGCATGGCAGCGATTGCCTGTGCTGATGCCCACAAGGGCGGAAAGGGCCTCCTTGTGGGTCTCTACGAGAAGGAGGCGGGCAAGGGGCCACGTCTGACGCCAGCGGGGGAGAAGTTTGATGATCGTCTGCACGGGAAACTCTCGGAACTGATCTGCGAGACGAAGATCAGTGGCAGGCTGGGACGCGGAAAGGTCTTCAACAATATTGATGAGGAGTTCCGGTCGGTGTGCGTGGTCGGTGTGGGGCTGGAGGGAATCGGCTTCAACGAGCTCGAGATGATCGACGAGGGCATGGAGAATGTCCGCGTGGCCGCCGGCATTGGTGCCCGCTCCCTGCAGGCCATCGAATGCATCGAGATCCATGTGGACAACATGGACTACCCGGAACAAGCAGCCGAGGGCGCATCCCTCGCCACTTGGCGCTTCGAGGAGAATCTCTCCAAGAAGTATCGCTCCATCCAGCCCAAGATGGAGCTCTTTGGCTCCCCTGATAGTGACTCTTGGACTCGTGGACTCTTCAAGGCGGAGGCCCAGAACATTTCGCGCCGCATCGCCGAAGCACCAGCCAACTGCATGACGCCCACAATCTTCGCCCAGGTGGCCGTGGACACCCTCTGCCCCTGCGGCATCACCGTGGAGGTGCGCACGATGGAGTGGATCGAGCAGCAGCGGCTTCACTCCTTCCTCACGATTGCCAAGGGCAGCTGCGAGCCACCCATCGTCCTGGAGCTCGCCTACTGCGGCACCTCGCCCGAGGACAAGCCCGTCCTGCTGGTGGGCCAGGGAATCACCTTCAACTCTGGCGGAATCAATCTGCGTCCCTGCAAGGGCATGGACGAGTTTCGTGGGGATCTGAATGGCGCCGCCTCCATCCTAGCCACCATGCGAGCGGCTGCCGCTTTGTCGCTCCCAATCAACATTACTGCCATCTTGCCGCTCTGCGAGAACCTGCCCTCGGGCATGTCCGTGAAGCCGGGGGATGTGGTGACCCTCCTGAATGCCAAGACAATGTCAGTGCGGAACATTGATCGCACTGGAGTGGTGGTCCTGGCAGATCCCCTCATCTACGGCCAGCAGACCTACAAGCCCCGTTTGGTCGTGGACATTGGATCGATGTGCAAAGGAGTAAAGAAGGCAGTGGGCGGAGGCGCCACGGGCATCTGGTCCAACTCGCACTACGTCTGGAAGCAGTTCCAGAAGGCTGGATCCCTCACCGGAGATCGCTTGTGGCGCTTTCCTCTGTGGGACTTCTACAAGCGCCGCGTGGCCAATCACAGGAGCTTCGATTTATCCAACGATGGCAATGGCCATGCCTCGTCCTGCCTGGCGGCCGCAGTGCTCAACGAGCTGGTGCCCTGCGCCGACTGGGCCCATCTCGACACCTATGGCACTGGCCTGATGACCACCTATGGACTGATTCCATATCTACGAGCGGGACAAATGACGGGACGCCCCACACGCACTTTGGTGCAATTTCTGTACCAGTTGGCATGTCCCAACGAGTAGCTGCAGCCTTTCAGCTGTTGATTCGTTTGGGTGTGGATAGATATTTGTTTTAATTGTTTGATTTGTTTCTATATGCAGACAGAAGAATGTACACAGCAAACACAGCACACACAACAAACACACTAAATGTCTTTCGGTAAGCAACAGCAACAGCAACAGCAGCAGCAGAGAGGACATCAATGTATCAACACATGAACAGAAAATTGATTTAAGTGTATCAGTAAATATATTTTGGAATATTTTGGCCTTAACACAAATTAAATGAAACTGTTTTAAGGACATGTTTTGGGTGGTGAATGAATTGTTACATGAATTGCTGCAAAAATTTGTATAAACCCACAGAAAAGCCTTGAGAGGAATATTTGTTCTTGAAGTTTTATGTGGTTTCTAACAGAATTTAAGTTTGGAGATTGTTTCCATCTTGTCTTTATGTTCTCTTTGTGCATGCCGCAGTTTAGCATCTTTCTGTTGCACATTTTTAACTATTTCCTTTTGCTTTGGCTAATTCCGTCTACTTTTGTGTAATTTATTTTCAATTATGCTAACGCTTGCTGCAACAATTTCAAGTATTTTCTTTTCACATTTTCGTATTTTTTTGTAATGCAAATAATTGTACAAAAAGTGATCAAAAATGTACAAGAATTTTAAACCCATAAAAAATGATTAAATACTTAAATATAAATTCCGAAAAAATACTAAATAATGTGAAATACTGAAAAATACCAAATAAATAGTAGGATTCATCTCTTGTGCACCCGTGGGGAGTGACGCGGGCGTGCCGGAAGCCGGCTTAAACCGAGTACAATTAGACGTCGCAATCTACCAAAAGCACCTTGCAGCCACCAACCATATATAGCCCAACCAAACACCACACCCCCACCCCGTTGGCTAACTGAGCGCCATCAAACTGCTGCTGACACATTTGGCACATGCCAGTGGGTTTGTCCGGGCTGGGGGGTGGTGGTCTAGCGGCTGAATGATGGTTTCTGAGGGCGAGGAGGCCCGCACAGATACCCTTTGCCCTGCGCATTGCTCCTCGGAACATGCTACATAGCTAATGTGTCCCATTTGCAATGGCAAACCACTGAAGCTTAACACGTTGTCTACGCAGCCACGCCCAGCGTCGTCCTACTGCCTACTGGCGGCATTGCCTACACCCTCCCCATCTTCCCTCTTTGCTCGCCGCTAAGCCAAGGGAGGAGCAGGCAGGCGCAGGCAGTGCTGAAATGTATGCTATAGTTTTTGCTCCGCCATGTGTGTGAGTATGTGTGGGTGTGTGTTGGCACACATTCGAGCACTCCATCTGTGTGTAAAGCCATTCAAAGTTGGATGTTGAACCAGCATGCTGGGGGAACTGGGCGAGCGGCACACACCAGACTTGGACCCCAGAGGGCAGCAGAGGAATGTGCAAGGGAAACCCCCCTGTAACCAGCACACAGATCCCATCCCAGTGGTAATTGTCTCGTTAGCCAGGCTCCACCGTAGTTGGGTAAAAACGGAAGCAAATGGCACCCCATCACTCACCTCCCGACTGTATGGCCGGGAAGACCGTGCGCGCTAATAATTTATTTACAGTTAACATTTTATAAGCCCAGGGCACACACATACACATACACAAGGGCACACACACACATCAAGCCAGTCCCCGCGCCATTTGATTTTACAAATATTTGCAGGTAGCTCTTCCCCCAAGCCTCCCCAGCCAGCGTTGGGGCATGCAAGAAATTTGCGACCAACATTTGCCATGGGTTCGATTTGTGGCGCTAACTTTTAGCAAAGAATAATTAAGTATTGATTGAAGTATCGAAGAATCATTTAATATATATCAAAGTTTGCAAGATGGGTGATAAAAGCTTAGAGGTAGAGCATTAGCTGTTCGTTCTAATCCATTTCCGTTTGCCATCTTGTTTCCGGTGTCAACTGTGGCACCCGGACCGGCTCCCCGTCCTGCCATTTTGCCATTTCATCGCTGATGTTAAGTGAAATATGGACAATTTCCGCTTGCCATTTTCCAGCAGGCAAGGAACGGTCTACTACGAATGTTGTTAGCCAAATGTGAAATACAGTTAACTGTGTTTTGCCACTCCTCGCATATATGCATAACTGAATGAATGTGGCTGGGGCAGAGTGTGAGCGAGCGTTGCATGGCATTTGGTTAACAGAATGTGTGCACGTGCAAGCGCTGCCAAAGCAGGTGCAACTCTAGAAGTATCCCATCAGTCGCTTTCAATAGCCATTATGGTCGCTTCCCCTCCTAACTCTCACTCTCAGTGCTTGGCTGCTTCTTCGTTATATTCCCTGCTGAATAGAAATGCACTTCTAATGCCCATTCGAAGCAGACAAAAAGTTATGTTGTGAGCATTTCACATGTGCATGTACATCTGTACGTGTGCACTTGTCGAAAATATAGGGTTTAAATGCAGATTTAATTTGTATTATTTATTCAATAATTTACTTAATTTATTTGCTTGACCCTGCACATGGTTTCCCTCATTCACTGGCAAAAAATCTACTCTGGGACTGTTTACCCTCCTTTTTTCTGAGTGTATGCACAACCGACTAGCTGCTGCTCCTCCTCCTTCAGCTGCTCCTCCTTGTTGCCTTACTAGCTCCATGCATTTTCCTGTTCAACCAGGAGAGACCTACATGGGTGTGTGTGTGCTGGGGGCAAGTGAATGTGATTTGCATGGGGTTTAACAAATTGAAGTTGTTGCGGATGGTGTTTTACAGTTACGGCTTGCTTATCGCCTGGCTTCGAGGGCCTTGCCTTGAAAGTGGATTTGTAGCAACCACAAAAAGAAAAGAGGAAAAGTTCCAAGTGAAATTGTTACCCAGGGAATGCAACCTGTACTCGCAGGCACTTGCCCACCATTAGCCATACTTGGCCTGTGTTTGCTCAAATATTTTACATTTTCCATTGATTTCTACTTGCAACCCTATTCCTGACTTTTATTTCTTATCGGAGATTTCATTATTTAATAGTGAAACTTTTGGCGGTAGAACTTTCACAAGTTGAGTGTTTTTTTTGTTTAAAGTAATTATTTTGATACAAATCTGAAGCGAAAATAAGTTAAAACCCAAAAGTTTTCCCTGTGGTTTTCACGCACCTTCCTTTAACCCACTTTCCGTTTAGTTCTTTGGCTTTCTTTAAGGATATTTGTGGATTGGATTGGAAGCCTTAAATGGCACAGAATTGCATTGAGAATTGCAAGGCAGCAAATGAAATGTGGAAGAACTTTTTGAAGGATTTCCCCGCTCTGCCGGCAGAGTTCAAAGTACAATTTTTGTGCCTTTATGATGAACTTTTCTGGCAGCGTAAAAGTTTTCTGT